GTGGATCGGGATGACGCTCTAGCCACCTGAGCTACCTGGTCAGGCCCTTAATTTTATCTTAATTTGTGTTTTAGCATAGTTAACTTCCACTCAAGTAACATATTTATACTTTTTGATACATTTATAATGTGTTTATAGTATGATCAAGCTGCTATACTGGGGCTTTTCATTTAGAAAGCCAGCAAGAATTCATATTACCCCCTCACCTGAGCTCTCTGGAGCTTCTCCAGCAGGTAATACTGCTGCTAACGTCAGTTCACAGGGCAGAGCTTCATGGGCTCACAAAGGCAAAAGCCGACAAGATCCAGGGCTGCGCCCCACCGCCCTCAATCTGGTGCCCACCTTTACTGTGCTGTTACGGGGGCCCTTGCTCTGAGTCACTCCCAAGTCACCTGGGTCTAAAGTTGTTCAAGTATGATTTGACAAGTTACCTGCCGTCTACTCATCCCTTACCCCCCTCAGGAAGAGAAGACGGGGCCTCACCAGACCTGACCCGTGAGGGTGAGACAGTGCACGTGAGCTCGGGTAGCGCAGATCATGGGGAAGCAGCGCAACAAGAGTGACTGATGTGGAGGAAACAGCACCACACTGTGCAGTGTGTGGCCCTTGCCTCCTGCCTTTGTGAATGAGAAAATGCCTTTTCGGGTGATTTTGTACCCCCCATAAAATACGCCCTTTCAAGCATTTTGAAGTGTACAAGTCTGTGGCAGTAAGTGCACTCACGATGCTGCGCAACTGCACCACTGCCCATCTCCAGAATTCCTTCATCATCCCAAACAGGAATTCTTCACTAACTTAGTAAGTACTTCCCATTCTCCCCTCTGCCAGGCCCTGGCCATCTCTATTCCACTTTCTGCCTCTGTGTACCTACTCTAGGTTGCTAAGCGGAATGATACAGTATTCGTTCTTTCGTTATCTGGTTTACTTCACTTAGTACCACATTCACCCCTGTTGCGGCGTGGCAGAGTTTCCTTCCTTTTAAAGAGTGAATAATGTTCCATTATGTACAGGTACACCTTCAATTCGATAATATGATAATATAATATTCTATTACATATACCTCATATTCCATTGTATATAATATTTATATATATATTCACCTGTTGATGGAAACGTGTACTGCTTCTACCTCATAGCTATTGTGAATAATATTGCTATGAATATGGATGTAGCAGAGTCCATCTATTTATTTGTTTATTTATCTTACTTTTTCTTTTTTTTCTAATGAGAGAGACACAGAGAAACATTGGTGTCTGTCCTGTGGAACAGTTGCCTCCTGCACGGGCCCCAGCCAGGGATGGAACCCACAGCGCAGGCATGTGCCGACCTGAAATCGAACCCACGGCCTGTTCTGGTGGACCCAGCAGGGCTGTTGCATAATCCTCTTCAAGAATAGGACCCATACAACAAAGGTCCCGCCACTTTGTAGCTCCTCTTTCCCTGAGACCAGCTCTTGCCCGCTCCCCTTGCCCTCTGAGCTCCGGATGGTGAGGGCCTCACCCCCAGGGAGCAGAACTGAGGCTGTGGCCTCCTCCAGCATGACTGTGCTCTCACCCAGGGCCGGCTCTCCGGGTCCTGCAGGGTCCCTGCTCTTGTCTCTAGATATGAGACCTTGGCCCCTTCTGCCCTGCTCTTTGGGAGCTGAAGCTTAGTATGCCTCAAGGTCAGGCCTTTCTAAAATATGCTGTAGACAATACCACAGGTATATTATAACATGGAAAATTTCAGCGAAACACAGATGTGCCTGCTTGGATGATGCTAGAAGACTTTCTGAAGTTACATCTAAAATATTTTTATATACTAGAATTACTAGTTGGCTATTTACTGATCGATAACATTGACAATCAGTAATTACTAAGCTTTTCCTATGTAGAAGGTGCTATACTCTGGAATTGTGGAGGAATATACTAAATGTAGACATAGTCCCTCCATTGCTTTCAGAAAGAATACATTTAATCAGACAGATATAGACCATGATGGCATAACTAATTAAATAAAGTGTGGTTTACCTTTATGATAGAAGCTACCCAGAATGAGATAGATTTTTATGTACTAATTGCTATAATCATCAAGCTGTATAGTTATATGCAAGAAAGTGTAGGTGCAGATGAGTGTATATATGTTCAGAGTGGTGGGGGAAAAAGGATGGAAGAACTTATAAGCACACACACGCACATACGAATTTATGTTTGTGCGCACTTATATATGAGCGTCCCCGCGTGTTCGTGAATGCATTGGCGTGTCTGGAACGCTACACAAAGTAGCAGTAGTGGCTGCCTCCGAGGCAGTTAGGGGTGAAAGAATACCTGTCACTTGTGCAACCTTTCTTATACATTTAAGTTTTCTACCATGTATACATATTATTTCTAATTTTTAAAAGCTGTGTATAAAACCGATAGTAAATGACAGTGTGTGGGAAGCCGTCTAACGAGCAGCACGCAAACAACGCGAAAGGCCTTCAGAGGAAGGGAGGCTTGCTCTGGGCTGGGGCAGCCAGTGCGGTCCCTGGGGCAGGAGGCGCCTTCGGAGGGAGAGACCCAGGATGGGCGGGCTCTGGGGAGGGAGCCAGTGGGACAGCAGGCGGGACAGCCTTCCAGCAGGAGTGCACAGAATTGGCACGCGGGGAGTCACCCGAGGTCGATCGCGGGACGTTGCCTGGGTACAGGAACCGGGTAGCATTTTATTTACTTCATGTACCTACTGGCTCATTCCGAAGTGCGTAATGTGAGATGAAGGACAACACAAAATTATTCAAGTAGAAACAGAAACTAAATCAGAATCTAGGGGCTAATTAGCCAGAATCAGAATACAGTGGCTAATGAAAAGGACGAACCAGTTACCGAGCTTCAAGATTGTATCTCGGCCTCCCGGCGGCCGGAGTGAAAGGAACACTGCAAGTACGTGGCTCTTCCTCTGGAATGAACGACGGCACACCGGCCCTCCGAGGCCCAGCTCTTCTGCCAGGATTGTGAAGGAGGCATCCCGTGGGGGCAGGCGAGCTGTGGCCCCAGGAGGATCAGTGTCCGTCAGGGCAACCTGCAAGGGCATCTTGGTCGGAGGTCACCTAGGATGCAGCTATTCGTTGGTCTGCTTCCAAAGTTCTTGGGAGAGTGGACAAATATCATGTCTCCTAGAGAAGTTTTCCTAAATGTCCCTCTCTCAACTGAAAGTTCTTTGTGTCATTGGGTATTTGTGTGTTTGGCTTATAACGAGAGCCAGGGCAAAGCCAAGGTGGCTGTTACTGGTCAAAAGCTAGCCACACGTTTTAGGACCAAACAGGTAGTAGTGTAAATACCTATTAGGAAAGTTGAGAAAGTTAGCAGGCAGTGTTTTGCCAGGGTGGCAGGCCACTTCCCTTCCCCCAGGTGTCCCGAGAGACAAATCTAGGATGTCTCTCAGAGAGAAGTCTTGCTTATTCTAGTGCTAAGATAATTGTTCACTTGAATCTCCAAAGTTCAACATTGCTCTAAACATTTTCAAGTTTCTTTGTTTCCATGCCTATAGGAAAACTTCTATTCCTTAACAAAGTGAACTGTGTGGGGTGGGCTGGAAACTAGGTTGGGACCAGATTGTGTTAGAGAACGCTCAGTAGTTTAGACTTTATTCCAAAAGTGATGGGTACTCATTGATTGTTTGTGAGTAGGAAATACATAGTAAGGAGCACATGATGCATAAATGGTTAATCCAATGGCAGTTTACGGAGTGAAGCTCAGGGGGAAAAGGCCAGATGGGCAAGAGTCCTGTAATAGTTTTAAAGCCTGCACAGGGTAGTGGGTGTGAGAATCAAATACTGACACCCTGTAGAGAAACAACTGGCAGGTCCTTGGGACTGAACATGGGAGCCTAAGGAACGTGGAACACGGCCCGAGTGATTACAAGGACAACAGAAACTGCAGGAACAGAGCAGGTGTCAAGAGGGGCGGTTCGTGTGGAGGAAATGAATTCGTTTGGGTTGCACGTTGATTTGGGGATGGTGACAGGATATCTCAATGGAGTGATTAGTTGGCTGAATATAAAGGAATGAAGCTGAACATAGACTTAGAAGGCACCTCAGTAAAGGAGATTCCTGGTGGAAGTTTGTCATTTAACTTATGAAATCTGCTTGCCAAAAAAAAAGAACTTGAATCACCAGATCCGAATGCTGGAAACTTGCGTGGGTGGAGGAACGGACGTGTGGAACCACAGCACATGGGATGTGCGGCAAGACCTAGGACGTGGGGTATCCCACAGGACGAGTTAAGCTGGTGCTTTATACACACAGATTGCAAGAGGCGGGGGAGAGAGGAAAAAGGAATCTAAATATTTTTAAAGATTTAAAGAGCCACATCAATCAAGTGTGACTTGTGGACCCTTTTGGGATCCCAATCCGAGCAAACCAACGAACTCTTTAAGGAGTCTATGAGACAATGGAGGAAATTTGATCTAATTGGGTATTTGCTGATATAAAGGGATTCTTTCCTACTTTTAGACATAGTAATGTTTTGTGGTTAAGGCATTCGTAAAGAGAGACCTTATGGTTTTTAAAATATATACTGCAGTCTTTTGCAGATGAGCTGATATGATTTCTGAGATGTGCTTCAAAGTAATCCAATGGGGAGAGAGCATGGGGAACGGTGCGGTGCAGATGAACCTGGAGAGGCTGTAAAGGGTTGGTTTGGGGGCTCGGGTGTTGGGGCCTGGGCGTGAGGGACATCACGCAAGTCTTTCTATCATTACATATGTTTAAAATGTTCTGTAATAAACAGGAAATAAGAAAGAAAGAAAGAAAGAAAGAAAGAAAGAAAGAAAGAAAGAAAGAAAGAAAGAAAGAAAGAAAGAAAGAAAGAAAGAAAAAGAAAAGAAAAGAAAGAAGTTCGCCCCCTGGAAGTCAAATACTTGCTTGTGAAAGTAAATATCCCAGGGCAGTCTCATTCAAGGTGAAATCAAGACGAGAGGAACAACTAGAGTAAATTTTACAGCTAGAGTAAAAATAACACACTGTACTGGCAAAAAGCATCGCTTTGGAATTCCATAAATATGGCTTGCTAATTTTTATTAGCTCTGTCACCTTGAGCACATAAATTACCTTTGTAAGCCCACAAGCCATGGTTTCCTCCTCTGTAAAGTGGGGATGGTAATTGCACCAGCCTCACAGAGTGAATACATTGGGGAAATCATCCATACAAAGCACCTTATATTCCGCATGACACAAAATAAGTGCTCACTAAACATTCGTGATTTACATGGTTGTTCTATTACTGACTAGACTCTTCATAAAAGACAAGCGAAGAACCATATTATGCAGTATGACAGGAGCAAGAGAAAATTTTGAGCAAAGGGCAATGACAGTGCTGTCGTGTTATGATCAAGGAGTGATTTGGAGCTCACTGACGACATCAACGCCTTGGTGTCAGCAACGATGTGGTGTGTACACCACAACAACAAGGAATTAGCCAAGAGCTGTGGTGAAGCAGTGGTGCTGTGTAGTCCTCAGGTGGTGATGAAAGAAAGGAAAGGGCTAGAACAGCAAAGACAAGGGTGTTCTTTCCCAAAGTCAGGGAGCTCTTGCCAGTGGCAGGGAGAGAGGAAGGAGCGTGCTGGGAGGGGCAGTGAGGGATGCTGGGCCAGGAGCAGAGCACCCTCAGCTGAGGGAGGCAGAGGGAAGGCTGGCCCTGTGGCGGGGAAGCTGGTTTACAGTGAAGAATAAAAACAGGACAAAGCCCTGGGAAGAACCAGGGTTTCTGAGGACACTAGAAGGGACTGTGAAGGAGAAAAAAAATAATGGAAGGTAAAAAGATAGGACTGGGAAGGAAGACGCACAGAGGAACACGGGAATGAGAGTAAAAGAGAGAATAGGTAAGTAAAGGGCTTGACATCTGGCCTGCTGGCTGAGGTGACACAGCTGGTAATACACCAGAGCAGGTTTATGGAGGGCAGATGGGGGTCTCAAGCAGGCAGCGTCTGCACTCTGCCCCTTGCAGAGACTGTTGTGTGGCCTTTGACTATTACCTCCCCTTGGATGGTTGGAGAAGGGTGTCGATTGACACCCGGTGCTAGCCTGTGTCCACAGTGGCCCGTGGTGGAACAGAGACCTCCAGCTACCTGGGGTGGAACTGCAGGTGCCCGATGAAAGGCGGTGGGAACACTCCTCAGAGAGCTGAGGGAAAAACAGGGCAGCGCAAATCCAGCCAGTGAGATTCAGGACCCAGCCTGGACTGGCTGAGAGGTGAACTCCTCCCTTTGTTACTGTTGAGTCTCTGCTCACACCCTCCGCCTCCACTCCCCTCCCCTCATCTCAAGGGCCTCATCCTAAGGACAAGGTGATAGCACTGGGGTTTTCTTTTCTTTTTCTTTCCATTTTTTACCTGATCACATAGGGAAAAAAGCTGGAAATTTAGTGACTTGCTTGATGTAAAACCCCTGGGTCTAAATGTCATGCTCTGTCGACAAATCAGATGAAGAGATGGGAAGAACGCATTTGAAATCTAGGTTCATCAAGATTTTGATGAATCTAGGTTCATCAAAATAGTCCTCCCTCATTTTGCTTTTCATAGTTTCAGTTACCTGTGATCAACCACAGTCTGAAAAAATAAATGGAAAATTCCAGAAGTAAACAGTTCGTAGCTTTTCAGTTGCAAGTCATTCTGAGGAGCATAATGAAATCTTGCACAGTCCCAGTCCTTCCCGTCTAGACAGGAATCATCTCTTTGTGCAGCGTCTTTACACGGTGGATGCTCCCCACCCGGGAGTCGCTTGGTAGCCATCTGGGTGGTGAGATCAACTACGAGGCATCACAGTGCTTGTCGTCAAGTCACCTTGTTTTACTTACTAATGGCCCCCAAGTGCAAGAGTGGCGATCCTGGCAGCTCAGACGTGCCAAAGAGAAGCCATAAGTGCTTTCTTCGAGTGAAAAGGTGAAAGTTCTCAACTTAATTTAAAAAAAAGGAAAAAAGTATGTTGATATTGCTAAGATCTACAGTAAGAATGGATCTTCTGTGAAATTGTGAAGAAGAAAAAATAAATTCATGCTAGTTTTGCTGGCTCACCTCAAACTGCAAAACTGGGGGCCGCAGTGCATGATAAGTGCTTAGTTAAGTTGGAAAAGGTATTACGTTTGTGGGTGGAAGGCAAACAAAAACGCGTCCTGCTGACTGTGCGTGCTGCACCAGAAAGCCCTGAGCCTGGAGGGCGGGCGACAGAGAGCGGTTCACCGCAGGCAAGGGGTGGTGCACCGGCTCAGGAACAGGTGTGGACTAAAATGTATTAAAATTGCTGGAGAGTGTTGTTATAATTATTATTATATTATTTTAGCTGTTATTAATCTCTTACTGTGCCTAATTTATAAATTAAACTTCATCATAGGTATGGATGTTTAAGAAAAAACATTTTATAGAGGGTTCAGTGCCATGTGAGATTTCAGGCATCCACTAAGGGGCCTTGGTTCATATCCCCACATGGACAAGGGCAGACACTGTATTTATATATCATTTAAAACTCAGATATGGCCTACCCTTCTTTTTGTCTCCTCAAATTCATTTCTTCTCTTCTTCCTTCCCAGTAGAATGTTTAGCTGGGCACGTGGCTCCTAAAATAAATACTGTATGTCAGCCTCCCTTGCAGCTAAGTATGATTGAGTTGGCTCAACAGTATGTAAGCCAAAGTGTTGCACATGGGCTGCTGAGGAACTTCCAGAAAGACAGTAGGTAGGTGCCCATCACCCTTTCTTCATTTCTTCCTTTCATGCTGCTGCTTGGAGTTCAAGTCTCTCCTCCTTCTCAGACCACAAAGGCAGTGGCACAACCTGGGAGAGGGGAAGTGAAGCTGAAGAAAACTGATCTCTGCAGATTTGGAGTGAGACACCTATCAGCCCAGTCCTGTTTGTACTCGAACTTGTACAGAATAAGGATAAATGCTCTATTTGCTTAGTGCTAATGTTACTTGAACATTTTCTGTTATGTGCAGCCAAACATAATTCTCATTGATATACAAGTACTAAAATTAACTAGTCATTGGTTTAAAAACAAGATTAAGTAAAAGGGACTTATAAGAATATAACAAAATCACAGAAGTAAATCTGTAAGCCAAATTCTCATCTATTAGATCAAACCTGTAACAATTTTTTACACTTTTCTAACAATTTTTTTTAATTAATTAAGCCATGATTCAAGATCTTAGAGTCAGACATATCCAGGTCCCCCTTCACCTCCCTGGAAGAAGGATGGAAGACAGAGGACAGGTGGGGTGTGGCCAGTTCAGATATTCCCAGAAAATGTGCCTTCTGCCTGGTGGTCATCTCAGGTGGACACCCAGGATATGGGGCAAAGGGACTTGTATACACGCTGGTACCATTCGCACATGGAGACATCACCCCCTTTAGCGGTCATTGCCTTCTCACAAGGGTGGAAATCCAGGTAGTTCTGCCAGCAGTTCCTGCCCTGGTTCTGATTGGGGAAGTGACTGTCCAAAGGGGCAATCTTGTGGTTTTTCATTTTGGTCTTGATGTCTTCTGTCATGTTGCTGACTCCTAAAGATGCCCGCAAGTCACTCCCAGTTCAATGTCCAAACCTATAACAATGTTTGAAAAAGTATATTCAGTGACTTATTAAGCCAATTTTATTGTTGCAGTCCCTGTATTAGATTCTGAGGATACCATAATGAATAAGCCATCATCCCTGCCCTCCTGAGTCTCACATCTGGGGAAACTGCAGTACAGTTATGATAGTAGGAATAAGCAGAGGGGGCTATGGGGGTGCACAGTCTCCTCCTGCAGCCTGGGGCAATGTGAGCAAATACTTTCTCAGAGCTGAGGTCCTACCTGAGACCTGAAAAACCAATAGCAGTTTGGCAGACAAAGCAGGAAGAAGCAGAGGCTGGGCAGTGAGACCTGCTGGTGCAGAAACTTGGAGCAGAGGGAGCATAGACTTCTGGGGGTGGGTGCAGGGAGGACAATCAAAGATGAGGGTTGTTCCTGCAGAACTGTGCTGGAACATGATGCAACAGTGCTCTATTACATGGCAATATAGAGGCCTAAAGTGATAAGGAATGAGGCTTAAAGAGAGTCCCTTTCTAAAGAGTGTAAGAGGAAGTCACCAACAGACTTGTAGAAAAGGGCTGCTGGGCTTCCCTTTGGGCTCAGTTGGGGTTGCAGACGATTAGCCAATGTGTAGTGCCACCAGTTCACACAACTGCGTGACACCCTGAGGGACGGAGTGGGTGCTGGGGAAGGGGCTGAGAGAATGGGGTTTCCCTGAGACTGAGGAGCAGGTGTAATAATAGTGAAGTCGTGGGGGAGGATGGAGGCTGTGGGTACAGGCTACACGTGGACATACTTCATAGAACTGGGCAGTTCCAGGCAATGTCCGTACTGAACTTGGAGGGGAGGGGAGACCTGGGGTTGCAATGACATCTCCAGAGCATGGGCAAAGGGGCAGGAACAGAGTTTTGCTTGACAAGAGCTGGGGGAATGCAAATAGTAGCCCAGGTCCAAAAGTGTGTATGTCAAGGCAAAATGAGGAGTATTCCTTAGAGAAGACTATGTAGGGGACTCTATGCACCGTGTATCATGCAGAAAGAGACTGAGGATTGTTCAAAACTCAAACAACTGCACAGAAAAGTCAAGGGCAAGGCATGAGGTCTTCAGCCAGGGTTCCCACTGTGGGCTTCCAGGTTGGCTTGTTTGTTCAAAATATTTTTGTGGTAAAATATACATAATATAAAATGTATCATTTTAAGTATTTTAAAGTGTACAGTTCATAATGGAAAAAATACAATAAAAATAGAACAGAAAAAAGTATAAAGTGTATATACAATTCAGTGACCTTAAATATTCACAGTGCTGTGCAGCTATCAACACCATTCATCTCCAGAATTTCTCATCACCCCAAACTAAAGTTCAGTACCCATTAAAAATAACCCCCTGCTCCCTCTCCCTCAGCCCTCGGCCCTGGTAACATCCATTCTACTTTCTGCCTCTGTGAATTTGACTACACTAGGTAACTCATATAAGTGGAATCACACAACATTTCATCTATTGCATCTGGCTTATGTCACTTAGCAAAATGTCTCCCAGCTTCATCCATGTTGTGGTAAATGTCACAAGTTCCTGTTTTTTAAGGCTGAATTATGTTCCACTGTATGTATACACCACCTTTTGTTTGTCCACTCATCCATGGGCCTTTGTGTTATTTCCACCTTTTGGGAACTGCCCTGTTTTTTAACACATGTGGTAGAGAATTACAGTGAAAGGAAATGGGAGAAAAGTGAGCAGGGAAAGGGAGAAACCCAGAGCAGTTCAGGGATGTAATCCGTTCTCCCCTTTACAAATGTGGAAATCTAAGCCTCTAGATAGTTCGAATGACTCCAAGTCACAAAGAACTCAAGTTTTCTGAATTCACACTGCTTTTCCTTCCAGTGCCACGTTTACCATCCTAGTAAACCAACCTAAACAGACCATGTTTAGCAACCTAGTCTGAATTCACCTGGATTCCATGACAGGAAGGGAGGGTGGGTGAGGCCAGACAGACAGATCCCGGAGGTCTGAGAGCGGAGGCTGGAATCCGTGGCACGATGCCCCGCCAGCCCCGAAATGAAGCAGGAGAGACCCTTCCCACACCCCAGTGGGGTCTCGCCTCACTGGCTCATTGATCCTTTGCCTCCTTTTCTGTTCACCTCCTCCTCTCTCAGGTATCCATCTTGTTCCCCTTCTCAGTCTCGACAGGATAAGAACAATCTCTGCTGAGCAGGGAAAGATTATTTAGGTGTTTGTTAGCTTCAAGTGCCATCTACACCTCTCCCTGGGACATTTCTATTTTAGGGAGCAACTTTAGAAAATTAGTAAAAACTTTAGGATTCCAAAGAATGGATCTGTAATGGTAGAACAGCAGAGGGTGAGGGTGACCTACGCGGGCAGGTGTTACCATCCCTGCTTACTGGTGGGTTTGTGAAAAGGCGGTGGAGAGAAGCGGCTGGGCATTGCCTACCCAGCTCTCCTTCCCTCGCAATAAATGTCTCACTCACAAATGCATTTGGGCTCTGTTTTGTGTTTCTTCCTCAGAACTCATTTTTTTCTTTCTATTTCTCTCAATTCCTTGAGAGAAAATGCATTTGTATTTATTTCACCATCCAGAATAGCTTTCTGCACATAGTAAGTTCTCAAACCTGTGAGGATGATTAACCCCTGACCAAATATTTCAAACTTAAGTGAAGGAGTCAAGGATAATAGAGGTGCTTTTCTGTCGCTACTTTATCCTTTGAATTTATCATGGACCAATAGTAACAAATAATATTGGCATTGAAGAATACCTTCCTCCTTTAACCTTTGATAGTAGGCATTGAGCAAGATGTATTTCATTAAACATCTGCATTGTCCTTATCCATTTTTATTGGTTTCTCTCTCATCTCACATGCACTCAAATATCGCCTTGCTCTTGAATAATGTGCAGAGCACAGCAAGCTCTCGAGTATACCAGAATCTTCTGTACTTACGACATAATTATTTTTACAGAGTGCCCTAGTGCCCTCTGATACCCACTACGACCCATAAACAAGTGCAAGTTTACATGAACCCCCCTCCTTAGAGAATCAGGTTTTATGGAAAAGTAATTTATTTCCCTCATATACAAGCATACGATTTCCATGAAAACCGAATGTCTCCAAGTCCAAAGCAGAACACTTAGAGCAACCCCATAACTGTCTGTCCGCTGTTTGAGGGTTGGTGGAATGCATGATCCTCATCTGATCCCTTCACCAGCACCAAGACGCAGTCAAGATGGCAAATCAACTGGCAAGTTTATACATGTGGAAACTAAGTCTCAGCTATAACTTGCAAAAGGGATGAAACCAGCAGACTTTGACTTCAGTCTTTTCACTCCAACTCCTACCCTCTTTCCACTACATCTAGTGCTAGTCGTCACTATCTGCATATCTCTACCAGACCAGCAGTTTATTTTTGATGCCCAGTTGACTTGAAATCACAGCTAAAATCAACAAGTGTATCAAATGACAACCTTAGATCGCATCTTAACCATACTTTTTTCAAGTGGTCACCTATTCATATGCTGAAATAAGCCTGAAATATATTTCATTGTGGATATACTCTTAAAATTAGCTATTTTAAAAAACATTTCACATCGAGGCTATGTAGCTCGTTTGGTCAGAGTGTTGTCCCTGTACACTGAGGCTGCGGGTTCAATGCCCGGGGAAGGAATGGACAAGAACCAGCCGAGGGCTGCGTAAGTAAGTGAAACAACCAATCACTCTGTGTCTTACTTTCTCTCTCAAATCAATTTTTCAAAAATGTTTCAGTAGAAACATTTTTTAATTTAATATAAAGTGTTGTTCAAGTACAGTTTTCTGCCTTTTACCCCCATCCCAACCCAACCCCCTCACTAGAAACATTTTTTAAAAAGTCCTTTACTACTTCATACAGTTTGGAAATAAAGATTTTAAAAGCTTTTAAAGATTTCAAAAACAGTTTGCTAAAATGTAGGTGTACTTATGAGATTTTTACCAAACCCAGTGTCTAAAATGTTTCCAAAACTCAAAATGATCCAATCCTACAGATACAAGAGAAGCCATTTCTCCAGCATTTATTTTCCTGTATAACTTGTTTATAATAATCATTTGGTGTGTCCTGTAAACGGGTATGTCCACATTGTGAGAATACTTCTCTCTTGAAAGAGTAACTTAAGATAATGCATACTTTCTGCTTTAAATACTTTAAATATATTACTTACTTTTAATCAGATATAATCCCATTTATTTTTGCTTATTTTACTAAAGAAACAAACTTTCCCCTCCCTTCTCTTAAAAATGTTTTATTTCTTACTAAATTCTACTCTCTTCTACCAAAATGTGACAAAGTCAACACACTGGTTACACAGTAATGAGAAAACCAACAAGGATCTCCTTCAGAGTTTGGCCAAAGGGAAACAATTTGTAGTAGTTAAGATTTATTCCCCTATCCTACCCTCTAAATATTACATCTCTCAACAAAGAATTCTTGTTTAACTTTATTGAAAAGTGTGCAGCAGGGTGGTGTTAAGAAATGGTATAGATCTAAATGTACACATGTGAGTGTTGCTAGCTGGGAGTGAACAGAAAGAAAACGAGCATTTCAATTTGTCACAATGGCATCTCACATTAAAAAAGGAAAAATATTAAGAGTATTAGAATGTTTTTAAAAGCCAGTATCAGAGCAATGTCTTCACACTGCTCAGTGCTGTCCCAAACGTTAATAATAAATGAGGAACAAGAACTCTGAGCTGCACTCCATTCCTCGACCATTACTGGAGCTCAGTTTTAAAGTTTCCGAGTGTGAGTTTTACATGAACATATTTCTGCCCATTTGCATTGAACAGCCAGGCACTGTTCCAGAATTTCACTTCATAAACCACACACACCACTTCTGCTAAAAGATATTTTTAGTAATTGTGACAAAAACATCATAGGTTTGAGTACAAATAATTATATCGTGTTTTCTTAAAAATATGTTATTTTTATAGAGAAACGTGTAAGTAACTAAGAGAGGAGGAATTCAACCCTGAAAAATACAGCCACATAGATGAACCTAATATTAGTAGATACCTAAGGCTACTCGTTATTGTTGCTTTCCTGTGCCCACCACTGAATATTCTAAAAGGGGTGTTGGGCTTCTGGCCAGTATTGCCAGGACCATCCTGGGAACTGAGGACAATGGCGAACAGGATGAAGCCCCTGCTGCGGAGGCGTGGGGATGTAACTGACACTGAAGGAGGATGCCAGGCCACCGCAGCACAAGGCTATGGGTGCACAGTAGAGGTAGGAGGCAACGGCGCCCCCAATCCTCACCTTGGGCCAATAGGGAGGGAAGGGAAGACAGCCCCTCCGAAGAAAGACGGAGGAGGTAGGGGAGTGTTGCAGAAGCTAGAGGAGATTGGGCACGTCTAGAGAAGCGAAAGCATTTCAGGTAAAGTGGAACTAGTGGAGGGGTGGGAGGAGTGGCCGGCATCCAGCTGGGGACAAGACATAAACGAAAATAAGAATAGGGGGACCTTATAAACCAAATGTAAGGAGATAGAATTTTATCTTGAGGAAAACGGAGACCCCCTAAGATTTAAATGGGAGCGACACGATCGGATTTATTTTGAAATAATCTGGTCAAAATGTCGAAAGCGGGGAGGAGCAAAGCCTGACAACGAGAGATTACTGAACAGGTAACTGGGGTAATCCAGGTGGAAGACGCTGGCGGCCTGCACTGGAGAAGTCTGAGCGTGGCAGGGACGACAACCAGGCGACAAGATGTAGGGAAGCAAAACGGATCCTGCGCTTAATGACTGGAGGATGGAATGAGGGGCTGGAGACTGAGTTGAGTAATGCAGTTGCTAAAACGGGAAACACGGGAAGTTTGGAGGGAAAGCGTGGAGTGCCGTTTGATACAAATCAATACTGAGATTTCTGTGGCACTCAAATTAAATATACCCGGACCTCAGGGCAGGCTGGTCTGCAAGCAGGATCACGCCCTACGAGGGGCTGAGACGATCCAGGAAGACACAGAGAAGGTGGTCTGGACAGCTCCCCTGGGGACTTACACTGGAGGAAGGAGCAATGCTTATATGCCACTTTTCTTCAAATACACACTGAATCACACGACGTGCTTCCAGATAGTTGGGCGAGTGCAATGCTCTAATTTTGCAGGTGGGGAAAATGAGACCTCGGGGTAAAGGGCTTGTTCATGATCACCTGGTGGTGACTCTTGACCTCCAGTTCTTCATCCAAGTACACCCCCTACTCCGCCTTACTCACTCACTCCATGTAGCCGATTGCTGACATATATTCTCAGATATTTGGTGGTATAGGTCACAGAAAATGATTTTTTAAATGTTTTGTGTTCCTTTTTGCCAACCCCAGAGAAAGACTTTGTGATCAAGTTTCAATTTTAATATATATCGCCAGAAATTAAATATATGTATCCACTGTCCTAAAAACAAAAAAACTCTGGCAGGAATATTTTAGAATATATCTATTCCAGTAAGTACACAAGTTCTTCAAGTTCTCTGTGCTGCATAAACAAATCTTGACAGATTCTGGCTTTAGGCTTGTGAACTCGGCACGTCCATCTCCGGTTTTCCAATCTAGAGGACTTGCCTACGGTGCCCCCTGCGCCGTCCCTCCGGCTCCCCGCCTACCCCCCGCCGGCCCCACCACCTGCTCCCGGCGCCTCGTCCTCCTCCCGCCGGGTCGCCTGCGCGAGTTCTCACGCGCGACACGCGCCCCTCCTCGCCGCTCCAGCCGCTCTCACTCCGCGGAGCTTCGGCGTCGGCGCCCGCGCGCTCAAAGCCAAGCTCCGCGGCCCCTGGGGCACTCCCGCTTTTCCCCGCCCGCCTCCCGGCCCCGCGCCCCCCACGAAGTTCTCCCTCCCACACCGCCCCCTGCGAGGACTTTGGAGGCGGTCCTGGGCCGGCGGGCGCTGATTGGCTGCCTCCTCGTCGCTCCGCCCCTGTGCACGCGCTCGCAGTGGTACGGGATCCGCGGGCGCGCGCCGCGCGGCCCCGCGGACTGAGCGTCCGTGACCCGCGTGCGAACCCCCGTGTCCCGGCCCGGGTGTTTGCAAGGTGGGGGCGAGCGGCAGCGACAGGGCGCAGAGGGCTGGAGGCTTAGGTGGCGCCGGAAGTCCCCTCCGGCCCCGGTAGCCACCGCCATCCGGACGTCCCACGGGGACTGGGAGCTGCCAGAGGGGCTGGGGCCGTCGCGGTCGCCAGCCCGGTAGCCCGGATGTCACTACCCTCCGCGGCGGGACCGCCGACGCTCTTATAGGCCCCGGGAGGAGGCTTGTCTTAAAGGGACAGCGCCTCGTTCAAGCCGGAGGGGGCGGTGCGTCCTGCCCTTGTACGCGACCCCTGCCTCAAGGGGACGCCGTGGCGCCCGCCGCCGCGACCCCCTCCTCCGGGTGGGGCGCAATTGGAGCGCGGCGCGCCGGGCCTGGGGATGGCCGCAGATGGCTGCCTCGAGGCCAGGTTTTTCTCTGGCCGCGCCGTGGCCAGTGGCGCCGCACGGGGCCGGCAGGCGCCGGCCTGTGATTGGCCGAGGCCACCGTGAATGCAGGACATTGTCTGGGCGCTGCAGTCTGTCCTTGCCCGCCGCCCTCGCTCAGATCAAAATGGGTGCGGAGCAAGGTCCCTGGACGGCCCTGGTTCCCACTCTCCTGGGAGTCCCCCGGTAGTGGGGAAATATAACTTAAAAGATTACGGATTTTAAGAATGGTATAAACGTGCTGTTTCAAAACGCAAAATCATTATAAACAAGGAAATAAAATAATTGTGTTTGACATAAAGGTTTCGTTCCTTTAAGATTGAAAGTATTAAAGTAATTGGAAAAGGTCAACTGTTAGAAAATGACTTAAGTTTTGTCTTCAAGATTTCTTTAATTAGGGTCTATGATAATTCACCTGAATATCCCCTTAAGAATTTTTAAATATATATATATTTCACATATATATGGAATCACCTTGTTCTGGACAGTACAGCCTACTTGGGTTTCAGTTTCCACGTGTGTAAAAAGACGCTGGACTGGTAGCTTTCCAAGTTTGCTTCCTTTGTTAAAATAACTCTAATTCTAGACTTAAAATCCTGGTATAGCCTATGTATTAGATCATATCTCTAGACCTTGGAATAGATGAATCCTTTTAAAGAGCCCTTGAGGACATCATAGTTCTCCTCAGACTGCCTTGGAAAATATGCGGGAGTTATTTAAGCAGAGTTGTAATCTTTTAACGTGTAATTTTGGAGTAAAGGGAAATGGGAGCCGTAGAGAAATGTATGGAGATCAATCAGTTATTCGTCAATGTGAAGAGCAAGGCTTTTCATCTTAAAAAGTTTTCCAGGTAATGAAATATTATAATAAAGAATAATAACCATCTATCCTATTTTGCCCCTAGTATCAAAGAAGTAGAAAAATGGCAAGAGAAATAAAAGATACACAGAAATACACATGAAATAAAAGATACACAAATAGAAAATGTTTGAAGACTTTTGAAAAAAAATTAAGTTGGTATTTGCTTTTTAAAAATACTGAATGGGAAAAATTATTGTAGGACTAAGAGCACACTTGTGTTGATATAGATAATATTTTACAGCTTCAGTTACATGCCCTTTTCAACATTAAAAAAAAATCAGTGATTTCATTTAACTGAGCAATCAACAAGAATTAGAGACTTGGAAATGACAAATAAATGAAGGAAGGAAAGCATCCAGAAAAAAAAAATAAGTTTAATGGACATGATTCATTGTAGGAGACATGACCTCATTCCTTATTAGAGGGATTTCCACTAAACCAGGTTTAATGTTAAATAAATTTATTTTACAGACTTTCCTCACAATTATACTAATTTGATTTGTTTTTTCTCTTGGTATTATAAAGTAAAGAGATGCAAGAGAAATTTTTAAATATTGTTGCAGCTTCCTCAGATGACAATTGTTCCCAGGCTCCTCACCCTCATCCGTCATAATAAAGGATTAAAAAAGCAGAAATCACAAGCATAAAGATTAGCTCTCTCCAGAAGTGAAATGTGGGTAGTTGTGTGGATGTCTGTGAGTGAAGCAAATTAAGTTTTGCTTATTTAAAAATTTAGCATTTAAATTGTTGATTTGTGTAATTAAATTGATTTTACTTAAAAGTGATTGAATAAATGATTAAAACTTAAAGATTAAGCTGAAATTAAGATGTTTGCAATAAACACAAGCAGCAGGTAATATGGTATAGGCTATAAGGTATGAAATGTCTTGCCAAATAAGTTGGAGGCTTCCAGCAAGTCTTTTCCTTAGGATTTTTGTTTTGATAGATGATATATAGAGTGATAATATTTATGGAACACTTGGTATATGCCAGACACCAGTGTAAGTATCTTCTTTAATCCTCACAAAAATCCTGGGGAGCAAGTAAAATTATTATTCCCATCTTAGAAGCATGGAAACTGAAGCTCTAAAGGCTAAGTAGCTTGCCCAAGGTCAGACAGTTGGTGGGTATAGAGCTGGAAATGGGGCCCAGAATCCTGTCTGACTCTGCTCAAAGACGGTTCTCAATCACTCACTAGACAGACTTAATTATGTGGTTATGATTATTAATCTGTGTTTGATCAGATCTTTTCAACAGTTACACATTTGAATATTTTTGCATTAGCCTTTTCACTCATTTATATTTCAGGTGACCATGTGGATACAAGATTGCCATGCGCATTTATTTTGCTGCAGAGTCAAGCATCTCTATTGATTTTTTAAAAGAAAAACGCCTCTCAAATTTGCATCTTATGTCTTCTTTTAAACAGATACATGGACAGAAGCTAAAAGCTAAATTCTCTCACCCTCTGCTTTTCTCTCTTTCCCTTTTTTTCTTTTCTTTTTTCAGATGTGTTTCTTCATAGGACCTATGAATACCTATTGGCCATGTTCACTACATCTAGTTAGTGTCGGGCCCAGAAGAGGAGCTAGTGCACTCACTCAGCTATTGGCTGTATGATTACAAACGGCCTAGTCTTTCAGAAGGTAGAAAGGAAGAGGGGCTGAGAATGCAAAACAGGAATTTGGGGGATTCAATAGCATAAAACTGAGGCAAAGGGCTGTGCCTTGAAAGACTTTTTGTTGTTGTTGTTGCGGCCCCTCCCATTTACCCTGGTCTCTTCCTTTTCGCATTGGTGTCACAGTGGCCCTGAGAGTGCCATCTGTAGCTCTGCCAAAGATGGGGGAAAGAAGGCAGTCGGTCTCAAACTAGTCCCTGCCGTTGCTTGTTCACAGTGCCTGTACCAGGAGGGTTAAGAATTAGAAATAAAATTATTCTGAAGGGGATCATATGTGACTCGTTAATCCATGTGATTTCGGATGCTCATTGTCACTGAAAATTGAGTTGGCTAAGTCTGTTTAACTTTTGTGATTAAGGATCAGCTTTAGGATTTGACGTTCTGGAGGCCTGGAGGATAAAAGGATTGTGCTCAGCCTTCCTCCTGCTCCCACCCACACAGGCAGCTGACACTTAGTGCTTTGTCCCTGGCCAACCAGCAGTTCACCATCTCCCTCCCGACACTGGCAGGGAAGCCACACAGCTGTAAGGGGGACAGGACAACATCTGGCAAGCCCAACCCACCGAGTCCCACTGCCATCAGTGACAGGCAAGGCTGCAATCAGTCTCTTAACACCCAAGGTGCCCAGAGGGGCAGGCCCAACCACAGAGAACCACCTGGCTTCTTATTAGCTAGTGTTGCCTTTATATTTTATTTTTACACAGTTCCATAGTTAAGCTCTTACCACCTAAATTTCTCAAATGCAAATATTAAAGCGTCTTGTAAGTGCATAAATATACTTTCAATCTCATCACAAGCACCTACTCATTCATCTTTGTACCAGGAATTCTTAGCACTCAACAGGGTGCCGTCCTCTCTTTCTGGGCTCTGGCACACAACCGGATTCTGGTAATGCCGTGTTCTCTCTTCAGCCCCTCAGCCTCGCGGTGCTGATGGCTCCCACCGTTGCTAGGAGGCCTTGCCTCATTGATTCTTGTCACTCTGCCCACTTTTTTTTTTAATTCTCACCCAAAGACATTTTTTTCAGTGCTTTTTGAGATAGGGGAAGGGAGAGAGAGGCAGAGAAAGAAACATTGATTGGTTGCCTTCTCATGCATTCCCTGACCGGGGATTGAACCCACAACCTGGGCCTGTGGGACATGCTCCAACCAGCTAAACCACACGGGCCGTGACACTGCCCACACTTCTTTTTAATAAAGATTTTATTCTTTTTTTTAACAGAGATGGAAAAAGGAGGGAGAAAGGGAAGAAGAGAAACATCACTTAGTTGCCTCTCACACGTGCCGCAACCTGGGCTGGGGCCCACAACCCAGGTATATGCACTGACTGGGAATTGAACAGGAATAGACCTGCAACCTTTTGCTTTGTGGGCAACACCCAACCAACTGAACCACACCAGTTAGGACTGCCCAACTTTTTGAAAGTCTTTTCAAAAAGTTCCAGTGAATGTGCCTTGCCTTTCCTCCTCCGATCGTGCCCGCCTCATACTCCATCATGATGTGGCCCTACCCACACGTCCTGTTTAAGCGGTGGCCTCTCCCTTCTGCATCCTTTTTCTCTCATACAGCAAACCGCTCTTCCCCCCATACTTTGACCCTTGAGTATGCTGTTCTTTCTGTCAAGAATATTCTATGAGGACTTCCTTGGGCTTCTTCCACATTGTATTTGAATCATTGCTTTGCCTGTCCAAACTGGGAGTTCCTTGAGATCAAAGGTCATGTCTTACTCACGAAAGAGCTAATGCAAAAGTATTTAAATGCATAACTGTCAAAAAGACCTGAC